ATTATACCCCGTTTTACATTGCTGCTACAGATTAGAGGGTTTACAGCAGAAAAAGAAATAATCAAACTCATTCTCTCTACAGTGAGAAGTGCTACAACAACAAACAGCTGGGGGAAAACAAAGCAGGAACTGACTGGTATGTATAAGCCTCTCAAAAAAAGCACAGAACAGAAGCTGAGCTGGCCCTACACAGATGCAGCACAGGTCTGCTTGAGCTCTGTTTCACAGCTGTGATGTGCTAGTAAGGATTACCACATTGGTTGGGAGATACCGCTTTTCATTTCACCCTAGAAAGCATCACGCCATGTACAGCCACAAAATCTGCAGTTGTTGTGATCTAACAGACTTGTAGAAAGTGGACAATTCTGAGCACAGGGAAGAAGTATCTAGGCTGACACTGGAAAGACCTAGCAAATAATTAAAAGACATAAGACTGCAAAAACCTTGTTTGCCAAAAAACTACACTTTCTCCTTAGTAAGGACAGCACAGCTCTTTGGTGGTATTCAAAGGCAAGAAATGACATACCAACATCAATGAAAAATTCTAGTGAAGGACAGTGAAAGCATAGTGAAAGCATAGAAGTCCTAATCATGGTGTCCTTTGCAAATTTTAGTCAATCACACAGCAACCAAAATAGGGCAATACCATTACCTTCAGTAATAGAAATCACTGTCAAATACATTTACTTCCAGTATCTGAAAAATTATCAACTTCAGTGTCCTGCGTTTTCCATAGCAAGTCTTCACCATACCATTGTATAGCACAGTTTGAACAAGAACTGTTTGCAGTCTAGCTTTAGCACTCAGGTTATCAAGTGAAATAAATTTTTTATCCCCTTGAAAATGTGCTGGTCTACATCAGAATTGTTGTCACAGCACAGCGGTACTTAAATACAGGCATCTTGAACATTTTCCTGTAACTCACACTGCTTTCCTGAACTCTGAGGATGCAAAAAAAAAGAATTCCTAACTCTGGCTGCAAACTGATGCTCAGCCTTAAACACAGCAAACCACTGCTGTAAGTCAGTACTAAAAATGACTTTGTCAACCGGATTCATGTTGAAAAATGCTTATGAAATGACAAAGAACCTAATCTTACTTTCACTGAAGTCAATAGCAAAACTCCCAGTGACTTCAGTAAGAGCAAAAGCCAGCATCAGATCAGTAAGGATAATTACTATTCCCTTCAAAAAAACATATACACTTCCTATTAGCCCCCCGCAGAAAGATGATAGTCTTTCAGCCATTTAATAATACTGCCATGTAGAAACATCTCTGAACACCAGCACTAATCCAACTAATCCAAACCTTCCTATGGCCACCTAAGGAACACTGTTTGTACCTGATCATTCAGGTCATAGCTGTATAACCCAAAGAGGAGAAAAGTACCTGTACAGAATCTGTATGGAAGAAGGAACACAAGCACACCAACAGTAATGACTCAGTGATACCTTTGCAACTACATGTGACTTACAAAAAACTATGCCACATTCTGTACTTTAAGGAGACCTTGTATGAGCATTTTTTTCCCCTCTTCGCACAATATACATATGAGTCACAATAATATTTGCTTATAAATATATGCAAATGTTTACTCAGATATTTAACAGGAAATTACTATTAAAAACAATAGAGAAGAACTTTGATCAGATGGAAAACCATACTGTTAAAATGATACTAAAATATGTTGCAATTCTCTCCAGGCTAGAAAGAGAAAAAGATAAAACTATTGTGCAATTAAAACCGCCTGCTGTACATTTACTTGAGCACAAAACTTGTATACAGATTTTTGGAACTACATGAGAAACAAATGTTACCAGCTTCTGAACAGAGAATAGAGGTGAAAAACAGTTACGTAGTTAGAAGTCTTTTCAAGAGAAGCAACAAAACTATGAAGACAGAACACGCGCTTTAAGTACCTCTCTCTCAACCACGGCATACAGTCTGAAATCTATGCCACACCAAATCCAATTGGGATCCACTAGCTAGGCCTTCCTCTTGCATGACTTTGACAGGCAGCACAGCTGGCAGCTGCTTGCAGAAACAAGCTGATCCACGGGGTTCAGGCTGGATTTTAATTAAACTTGCCTTGCCTTTTACATATGAAGAGTAGCTTCACTACAGTGGTTGATGGTGCTGCCTTTCAGTCTGGTACTTAGCACATTCTTCCAGCACAACATGCATGTGGGACCCGAATCTGAGTTTTCCCATTCAATCAGCAACTCCCGTGAAATGGGAAACTCTATTCAGATTGCTGCACTCATTCCCTTGCCTGTAGAAGCATGTTCAAAATTCAACAGTGATACCACATAAAAATGCAAGAGATGTCCAGCTCTAAATGTGACATTTTCATACCATCTCCAGATCTGCAACTGAAAATTAGCAACAGGCAAGAGTTCAGTAAAAACACATGCCACTGGAAAAATGGGTTTGAATACATAGTACAAAAGAGATCATTACTACCTGACCACAGCTGAGACAATACATTGACATATCTGCTTTGGAAATAAAAAACATTACGAAATACTTCTGTTACTGTTCTGCTAATTAACATGTGCTAATGACAGTGTTCATCAGACAATGAAGCTACATTGCAAACACTTGTTTTCTACTTTTCTGTATCAACAAGAGATGATCACATCTTGCCCAAACTCTATAGGCACTGAGGTTCTCAGCACCCTGAGCCATACCACATCTCAAATGTGCTTTAAGTAACCTATATAATTGCAAAGGTAGAAGGGAACATTACGGCCAAAAACATAGCTGCCCTTAGTTTTCTCTTCCTTTGCTGAAGATGGAAAAGACAAAGCTGTTGCCCTTTCTTGAGCAGCTGCGTCACAGAGTACGTATAAAGATGGCTTGATTTCATATAATTTTTATAGAAGTGAATTACTGAACAATAAATCAACTTTTTCTCCAACTATGAAATATGATAACAAAAAACTGAAGTAATCTGCAAGCAATTTGCAAGTACTGTATCGCCCTCTGCAGTTGATGCGCAAGTTCTGCGAATACATCTGCAAAATAATGAACTTGCTGTACACATTCCCTGCATAGATCGATAAACCAGTAATAAAACTCTAAGCCGAAACTCAGTTAAACAAAGTAACTCTGAAAATAGTATTTAAGAAAATGTTGAAATGCTCCAGAAAAGCCTTTGCACTAATTCCAGCAGAATTAACATCTTTATGGTGTTATGTTACTTGTCGGAATAATGGAAACACAATACATTAAGTCTTCAACTCATCATATAGATACTTTCCCTATTAAAGGATGTGGAAACATTATCTTTTGTTGCTGTTGTTAAGAATAGGTTAGCTTCCTCAACAATACTTCCACTCTTTACTCTTAGAGCTCAAGAAATTTTGCACTGCCCAACCTGAGAATCATTCCTGGTTACCTCTAATAAAAATAAATAAAAAGCATTTGCTAAAAGTTACATTAACTCATTGATCAATGACAGTATATTTCTAAAACCTGGTATTTTCAGTACTTTAATAATTTGACTTATAAACTTAAAAGGCTTTTTCCTGAGATGCGTACAGCATCAATATCTTCACATCAACACCCCTAAGATAGCACTTTTTTCTACTGCTAGTCCTAGAGAATAGTCACTACAGAGTTGTCTAGCCAGCTCTAGATAAGCACCAAAACATGGCTCCATAAAAGGCCCTTTGTTTTACCTCACCTGCTCCCTTCATTTGTTCCACATCTTCCTTGTGGAAAACTAAGCATGTCCTTAACCTTCTTAGCATATAAAGTTCTTCAGTGACTTCGCTATGAGCATTAGCATGTTTTATGCACATGATGAGGGCTCCAGATTTTAACATCACTTGCCGCAGAACTAGAGGCCTGTTTTGAAGCTCTGCATATTACTGAATGATAGTAACAATAACGTCAAAGATTGATTACCAAAAACTGATTATAGTAGAGACTATCATTTAATTTAACATACAGTACGTCCATCATATACTAAGTCATGCCCTGTTCAGTAAATCACTTAAGCACAAGAATGAAGTCCATTGAATGACTCAGGAATTAGCATCTTTAAAAACACTGCTAAAAAAAGACATAATATGAGTCTGATCTATACTTGCTGAATTACAGTTGATCACTTTAAGGCCAGTCTCCCCACTAATATAAGACACACTGAATTCGGTAACACAAGCTCAAACAGAGCAAACATGTTTGCAAGTATCTTTCCCATTTATCTATCTTTCACATTTTATAGGAGCAGGAATACAGAATAGCACCACTAACAAGTGATTCATTACTAAAATATCCTATGTACCACTTACTTAAATGTTTAAAACATTATCAAGGCTCTACAGGAATCCCCTTTAGCAAGGAACTAGCTCATTTTTTAAATTAATTTTCATATTTGTTGTTCTCTGAATATCTGTTCAAGCAGATAGCACTGCAGCATGATATTTGATAGAGCTCCAAAAGCATACACCACTACATTACTGTATTGGGGGAGGGGGGGGCAGAAATCTTGAGTAACTAGATTAATAGAACTCAAGAGATTCTTCTACTGCACTGTAATGTGTCCCTTGCATTTCCCTCCTGCAAAAAGAAGTTACTCACGCTACGGCCAGCTGTCTCCTTAACACTGATAGCTTCAAATGACCAAGCCTTTTTCTGCCATAAGGTCTTCCTTCTGATGTAAATTACATCTGCTTTTTTTTTTTCCTCTGGATCTGTGAATACAATTTTTTTAAGTCATCATCAGATTTAGGATATTTTTCTCCTCCGAAAAAATTTTGTACCTAGTGGCACAAACACGTTAAAACCCCACTAAAAGGGAGAATATTAAGCTATATTTTCTACTGCAGTCAGTTAAAGCAGCAACAGAAAACCAATGTCTCACACCTCATATTAAATCAGAATTAAGCTATAAACGATTTAATCCTCTGCTCTCAGCAGAGATTTGAAAGATTCCTGTATCACCATGTTCAAGTTACTGAATATCAACAGCAAATCGTGATTTGTGGGTCGATATGAAAGAAAAGAAGCAGGGCTTGAAAAACCCCCTAGAAAAACAAACAAAAATAGGAGCTGGACCAGTTGGTTGGGGTTTCCCTTCTTGCAAACGCACCAAACCTTTGAGGCTGCAGGATGCGAGACAAGCAGGCACGTCCCCTGAGGGGGAGGCCCCGGAGGCGCCCCCCGCTCCCGGGAGCC